AACTTACCTCTATACCAAGTTGCTTCCCTAAGGAGTTATAGGCTTTGAAAGTGAAGTTATAAATTTTGAAAAAAAATCAATATCTCCGTTATTCTTGAACTTAAAGCTACCAAATTTGGTACACTTTGTGGATGTATTACTTGACAGTAACTAGAGTTCAATTGAAATTTGTAAAGGGGGTATACCGGGCGGCGCACCATTAATATTCAATAGAATTTTGTTAACCCTTGATGGATTTTGAAAATCTTTGCCTTGTTTTGTGGGCAATTCAATTTTAAAACTTTTCTTAGTCTAGTAATTTCTCGAAAAACCTCATCATTTTCATCAAAAACTCGAATAACTGAAAACGCGTGCTCTAGGTGTGTTATTTAAAATCATCGAAAATTCAAAAGTTGGCTCTATGAAAGTAAACGTCAAACTTGACAATGATGCGAGGAAGTTGTTCAATTAAGTATTTCATCGATAAACAATTGTTTGTTATGGTTGTTGTTTGAGTTTTTTGTGTTCATTTTGGTTATTTGTTAATCCCAGTTTCTCACATTTCAGTATCTGTACTTACTTTACGTATTTTGTTACGTATCTGAATAATAATTTGCCAGCCGATTTCTACTGATTACAATTAATGACCTACTTTCTTGTTGTACGTTTATTTTCAAAGCCAACTTTTGAATTTTCGATGATTTTAAATAACACACCTAGAGCGCGCGTTTTCAGTTATTCAAGTTTTTGATGAAAATGATGAGGTTTTTCGAAAAATTACTAGACTAAGCGAAGTTTTAGAATCGAATTGCCCACACAACAAAGCAAATATTTTTGAAATCCATCGGGGGTTAACAAAATTCTGTTGAATATTAATGGTGCGCCACCTGGTATACCCCCTTTACAAATTTCAATTAAGCTCAAGTTACTGTCGAGTAACGCCCGAGTTGCACCAACTTTGGTTGCTTTAAGTTCAAGAATAACGGAGATATTGATTTTTTTCAAAATTTATAACTTCACTTTCAGAGCCTATAACTCCTTGGAGAAGCAACTTGGTATAGAGGTAAGTTGCGTTAAATTGCCATATTTTGGGACCTCCTATACATGCCCCTGATCTATGTCGGTTCTTATGTGAATCACCCTGTATATTATCTATCATATGTGAGCTGTCGAATGTCATATTTCGTACGTTGGCTGTAATCTACCAAATGGGATAACTTTTAATTTTTTTAAGCGAAAACCGTGCGTCAGATTGAAAAAATTATGGTGCTCAAATTTGGTTAGAAATGATTGGGAATTCCAGAAATGATTTTGATTTCGAGATTAATCAGTGGCTTAGGTACCATCAAGGTCTGCCAAAATAGGTATGTGAAATTCCATACGAACGCCACTGGTGGTATTACAGATATTAATAAAAAACTATTAATTTTTGAGAACCTTACCACCCTGTATCTCAAAAGTTATTAGGACGATAAGGTCATACGTTCATATGAAACTTTCTTCTCAGAATGGGCCCAAGAATCGCCTCCCCAAATATTGACATCGTATTATGAAACACCCTGTATATGTTTCAATTTAATATTTCGTAACAAACAATTTCAGTTTCCTTCCACCATTGTCTGCTAAATATGGAAAAAAATCTAGTGAGCTGTAACTACTGATGGTCCACCAGAGGATGTTACCGTATCGGACGAAATGATCTTCACTTTTTTCTAGAAATTTTTAGAAATTTGTGGTTATGTAAGTTGTTAGTGTCAAGAGCTGTCATGCCATCGTGACTTTTATTGTATTTTTCTTAAAAACAATATTTCTTCTCCAATTCTCATTGTTCTAATATTCCTGTCATTTATAGATATAGTTTTGTATTGTGCTCCCAGTATTATAGTTCATTCTGATTGATAATTTGTTACAAACTCTGTCTTTCAATTTTGCCTACCAGAAAGTGTGAAACCGTCTAAAAATTGTTTCAAAATTCATAGATTCATAGATTTTCAAGTAATATTCTTTTGCGACATAAGTGAATACATTCGATATTGAGTGTTACAGAGGCTCATTACAAGTGAGATAATCAGAGCCCTGATCAAAAGCTAATAATCGATACTACTCATTCTACCTCCCATTTAATTCAGGTGTTGAACGTTATGAAATTGGGGACTGAGTGACCGTGATCCGTGACTATGTCGTGATACTGAACTCAAACTCACTGAACAACAAACTACGCGGCAGGCCAAGAGTGCCGAGAGCACCGCTGAGGGAGCTGCTCAACTCGTTTACGATTTTCAAGGTTATGTAGGTTTGACAGGAAAACAATTGAAATTAGCGTTTCCTCGAGTTGACCGTATGGCGGCACTACTGTATCGGCCACAGAAACCTGTAGGTGATTTCCCTTGTTTGAGCAGACCAGATTACTATAGCTCACTAGATTTTTTTCTCCATATTTAGCAGACAATGCCTTCCACTATAGGAAGGTGTAAAAAATCACTTTACATACGATGAAAAAAAAAATCGATATATACAGGGTGTCCGGAGATAAAACCGACATGACCTATGGGGTTATAGGGACTGTCAATTTGATTGCAAAATGCCATAAACCAATGTCCAAAACCGCTTCGTTATTGACATACAGAGTGATTTGTGGATTTTGACAAAAAATTCAATCCGCCATATCAAATACAGGGATTAACCGATTAGATTCAAATTTGGTACACGAATTACACTGAAAAGCATCAACAAGTAGCCCTCTGATCGAAACCAATATCAGGACCGGAATGATATTTTTTCCCTATGTTGAGTTATTGTGAGAATAACTCACCCTGTATAATAATAACCAAAAATTCCAACTCAGATTCGAAATTTACGGTGAAAATTGTATAGGAATTTGTTGAAAAATCTCCTGGCGCTATCTTAGTTATTTCGTAATTGGTTATCATTTTAATTTTTTCATTCAAAAATCAATTATTGTCGGATAAAGTACCATCAATGGTAATAAAATAAATATTAACGAAACCATGACATGAATATAGTTATTTTCTTCAATCAGTTCGTGAATCGTAGTAAAATAAATTACTCTCATGACCCGAAAAAATTGAAAAATAAATTCGTATCAGGACTGGAATGAGGTTTTCTATGATTATATTCCTGTAAGAATAGATGATTTAGTATAACAATCATCTAATCGCAGATTCGAAATGCACTGAGAAAAGTTGAAAACTTGTTGAAAAATGATCGGACTGAACTATCAAATAATAAATCCGTAATCAGTACTTTATAATGTTTGTGTATAAAGAATATACTAGGCTTGTGTCAAATTCAGAATTTCATTATGGAAAACCATTGTTTACCTGTCATCAGCGTTTGTTTTATTGGTGTTCATTCATTATTCCAGTGTTTTTAGGATCAAACTATAGTTCTGAGAGTGTGTTTATGATGCCTAATGATTAATACACAGATATTCTATTTTTGTATGGGCTTTAACTGGTGATGTTTACCTAAATTTCTATTGCAAGGTGTAAATACCTGGGGTATGTGGTTTCAGCAGGATGGTGCTAGACCTCACTTTTCAGTTCCAGTTAGAAACCATCTCGATGCCAATTACCCCAATAGATCGATTGGCCGTGGAGGTTCAGTAAATTGGCCACCGCAATCCCCTGATCTAACTCAGCTAGATTATTTTTTATGAGGTCATTCAAGGTAAAAAGTTCATAATGAAGAAATTTGAATGAGAGAAAATGTATTATGGAAAATTACTGCTGCCTGCTTCTTGTGTTAGTGTTAGAAATAAGCCTCAAATAATTCGCAAGTCAGTGAATCATCTAATAGCACGCTCTCAAAAATGTATTGATGCTGGATGGCTCCACTCCTCCACTTCGAGAATGTTTTGTAATACTGGGTAGTGAAAGTTTTTTACGAATTCATTGGTTTTGTTATGTTCATTACAAACAGTTATTGTTCTTTGTGTAGTATTTTCATAAATTCAAATTCATTAGTGAGCGAATATAATTTACGAAAACATCACTCTCATCCTTTTTCAACAGGATCTTATACGATTTTTTTAGATTCCGAATCTACGATCAGATTATTGGTAACTATTGATGTACTAGGTCAGCTAATAACATAAACAAACAAAAAACTCATTCCCGTTCTGATACGAATTTATACTTCAATTTTTTCGGGTTATGAGAATATTTCATTTTACTCTGATTTATGAACTGATTGAAAAAAATAACTACATTCATGTCATGGTTTCGTAAATATTCATTATATTACCAATTTTGGTGGTATTTCACCCGAAAATAATTGATTTTTTAATGTAAAAAATTAAAATAATAATTAATTACGGAATAACTAAGATAGTGCCAGGAGATTTTTCAACAAATTCCTATACAATTTTCACCGTAGATTTCGAATCTGAGTTGAAATTTCTGGTTATTATTATACAGAGTGAGTTATTCTAACAATAACTCAACATAGGGGAAAAATATTAATCCGGTCCTGATATTGGTTTCGATCAGAGGGCTACTTGTTGATGCTTTTCAGTGTAATTCGTGTACCAAATTTGAATCTAATCCATTTTACTTGGTTCTTTGGGATTTTCTCTCCTCGTTTCTACAAAACAAAAGTATTCGTAGAGAGAAAATCCCAAAGAACCAAGTAAAATGAATGTACCACCTCCTCGATTAACCTACAGACAGTATTGAATCTAATCGGTTAATCCCTGTATTTGATATGGCGGATTGAATTTTTTGTCAAAATCCACAAATCACTCTGTATCTCAGTAACGAAGTGGTTGTGGACATTCGTTTATGGCATTTTGCAATCATATCGACAGTCCCTATAACCCCATGAGTTTTGTCGGTTTTATCTCCGGACACCCTGTATAAAAAATAGAATACTACAGGGAGATGAATGGTACGTTGCTTTAACAATGATATCAAAATCATTAATTATATTAAATTTCTGGAAACTATTATTTCATGAATCTGTTATATACCTTGAATAAAACATTATACACAGTTCTTATTAGTTAAGTACTTTACTGATTTCATTTTTACAATTTCTATTTACCATAAAACGTCAACTTGTGTAACGAATAAACTCAGGTGTGAAAATCATTGAGAATAGAAAAATCATATGATATTTTACAAAATAAATGCTCAGCATTTGTTGCTTGAATAGGATTTTTTCATGATGTTTGCACCCATTGCAAGGCCGAATTGTCTCATCAGATCCGCCAAAGTTTTACAAACAATTTCTGTATTCAAAGACTTTCCTTGGTTGATGGAGATTTCATCTGAAAATAATCATAGAATGGATGGTGGAGATTTGGTCATTGACATTTTGTATTTTCAGACCTTCGAAATGTAGCTTCAGCAAGTGCATTTGTCCAGGATTATTTTTACAAATTTGTCTGACTTCTCCCAGTAAGGCATCCAGTGGCGCACTTATTTGTTGATCCCACTGAAAAATAAAAACAGAATCCTGTCATTTCATTTGAAATAATTGTATTAAAATAATCAAAGGGGCAAGTGGAAGAAGGTGTTATGTTAGGTTTCAGAAAAGTTAGCTAGCATTTTTTAACGGAAGCTAGTTTAATAATTGGATTTATGCATTTATTTATTTAATGAAAATGGGATACAAACAGGCAGAGGCCCAAAACTGCATCCACTAGTTTCACAGAATACTCTGAAGCTTACAATGCTTACATTTTACAAAGTTAATATCACAATAATATTAAATATTCAGTACCTGGAGAAAAAACAAAAATAAATTCCGAATTTAGTGATGTACAATGTATATCTACGTGGCTGCAATATTTATTAAAATTATCACTCATTCTACTCATTGGCGAGTTCATTTCCAAATTGGTATGACAAAAATTGACATTCAGAAATATTTTAAGTCTTGTGGGTCTAGACGATACATGGAATGATATGAGAGATAACCAACATAGGAGAACTAAAATAATTCCTCATTATTTTATAGATGAATAATAAATCAGACATAATTCTACGTTGCTCCAAGGTTATTATAAGTCCAAAAGAGCTTCTGGTTTGGTTAATACTCTCTCCAACAAATGAATTGTTCACTCTGAAGTTTAGAAATCTCACAAAATTATTTTGAACTCTCTCCAATCGAACTTTGTGGTTGTATGTATGTTTTGATTGAATTTTGAGACAGAAAATATTTACAAGTTCTTGCTTCAAGCATTTGTTTGTAATATAATCAATATGCATTGCAAATCTCAATTTGGAATCGAAAATAACTCCAAGGTCCTTAATATGAGATACTTTATCCAAATGAGAACCATTCAAATTATAATCAAATGTGATGGGGTTCTGATTCCAAGCAAAGCTTATACTGCAACATTTCCTTGAGTTCAAAAATAATCTATTCTTTTTACAATACACATCTAACCTATCGAGATCGTTCTGGAGTTTCATACAATCATCCAACGAAATAATTCTTGTGAAAAGTTTCAGGTCATCAGCATACAATAAAAATTTAGAATCATGGAAGCATTGATCGATGTCATTGATGAAAATAATGAATAATAAAGGTCCAAGATTTGACCCTTGGGGCACCCCCGAGGTAACTATGATTTGGTTAGAGTTAAATCCATTAATACTTATGATCTGATACCTCTATTGCATATGTAAGATGAGAACCATCGTAATATATCACCATGCATACCAATTTCAGCAAGTTTCATCAACAAAATATTATGATCAATCTTGTCAAATACATTGCTGAAATCTGTATATAGAGTCAGTTTGAATACGATTATCGAGTGAATAAGATATGAACTGATTATAAATCATAAGATTGGTTTATGGATCTTTTAGAAAAGAACCCATGTTGTTCTTCCAGAATTATGTGTTTGAGATTAGATCATATAATATGCTCTCGAGGATTTTACTAAAAATACGAAGTTTATTGATACCTCTATAATAAGTGACATCTCTTTTGTCTCCATAGTTTCAGGTTGTTTTTTATAATTTAGAGCATTTTGTTGGAGGAGGAATAGACACAAACCCTGACGGGACATGTTTCATATGCACGTAACACCTTCTTCCATGGCATAACCGAATATTTTAATGTAACTTCAACAAAAAGTTCAAGCATGACACATTAAGTAAAATCGGAATAGAAACAACGTTTCGTTGTAGATGTTTCTGAAATTCAAACAAATAAGCCCATTTCCAGCGATTAATTAAAAAAAATGGAGGTTTTGACATGAAGCGAACGTCCCGTGACCCCGAGCGAGTAGACCTTTTTGAATGCAAAATTCAACGCTCGAGTCGATAAATTATTATTAAAAATTTTTCGATGACAACTTTCTGAAAGGTACTGTGTATAGTCGTTGAACCACTCGAACTTATTTTTTATTGGATAAATTTGCTTACTAACTCAAAAAGTTTCCATTAGGAATTTCACTAGAAATATTTACATTAATAGTTATTCATGTAACAAAGACGAAAAACTGTTTGACAGCCGATTCTACTAATTAATAGCCGAGGCTTTAGCCGAAAAAACTACCTTGGTAGTAGAAAAATATTTTACTTGACTCACGCCTCGACAAGGAATAAATAAGGGTAAGTTTTATAGGCGACTGAGATTGAGATCGTAGCGCCAGAACGGCGAATGTCGGTACTAATCTATGGGCCATTGGCGGATTGTTTACATTGTTCAGTAATGGTATTAATGTTCATTTCGTTTCGATATTTCAAACGTTTAGCTTCAATATTTGTGTATTTTTGAACTTCGTGTTTTCCAGTGGTATATTATGTTCCGATTGAGGACAAGATTATATCTGGTCAACAGTAGATAACCTACCTACCTCTAGTTGACATTTATATGTACCATCATACATAAGCTGTAAGGTCTCATCATTATTGAACAAGAATTCTCATGATTTAACCTGTATGGGATGGTGATTTCCAATTCAAATAGATGGCTGGGATATTATACCCTGATAGCATAATATTTTTGGAAGGAAGTACCTACCTTTTGGGAATGAAATGTTCTTTCGTAGGTAAAGTTATATACCTATGTTTTACTTACTTTCCACAACAAATAATAATCAACTACCTCTATTTCTCTCTCTATTCTTGATACAAAAACTGAATATTATTACAGGTATTTACATAGTAGGAATAAGACTATCATAGAAGCTCTCGAAAAAATCACTTATATGTAGTCCAAGGAAATGGTGAATTTATATGAACTACTTACCAGATGAAGTGGGCCAACCAAAAAATTGACTAATTTTGAAAACCTATAACTCGTACATTTCTTGGCCGATGTTGGATTTTCAACCAAAGGTAGAAAGCGTCATCCTTGTGCTATGCGTCATTGGCGTCGGGTTTTCATTTTTGTTATTCGTTCTCTTTGTACAGAGTGTGAATTAAGAGCCGGAAAAATTTCAAATTTTTGACCAATAATTTGGGAAATGTGAGGGACCCTAGAAAATTCTTTTTCAGATGTTGGGTGAATGGTTGGTCCGATACTTCGGGACGTCTTTGAAATTTTTTTGATAAATTGTGTTGCTATGGAAAAATCGCCATTTTATGAAATTCCATTTTTATTTTAAAATGTGGCCTTTCTTAGTTGAACAATAACAGCTAAAATCTGAACTGCAATAAGGGATATTCCTACTGAAGATAATTAACACCAGTGGCGCGCAAAAAGGGGTTTATGATATTTAGAAACGAAAAATTCGTTTTTATTGGAAAAATTCAACAGTTTTAATGATCGTTACAGTTGAAGAGGTGTCATACCCTCAATTAGCATGATGTTGACAAATTCAGAGGCGTGCAGAAAAGGGGCTTATGATATTTAGAAAATAAAAAAACGTTTTTATTGAAATAAAAACAACAGATTTATTGACCGTATAGCTATCAAAATTAGTCAATTTTTTGGCTGTCCCACTTCATCTGGTAAGTAGTTTAGTTGAAGAAGTTCACATAATTATTATGGGCAGATACAATTGGGGATATCTCTACTTTTAATCTAAACAAAACATTTTTGGTTATAAATTCATCATTCAATTACATTATTTTGAATTTATTTTGGTTATTTATAGAATTTGATTTTGAGTTTGCGAAGAACGTTTTATGTGAAACCCAATGTTCTGGTTGATGAAATTCTTTACTGATCATAAATTCTACTGTTCATGGGTAGTATTATGATGAAAGATATAATCAGTTGAAAATTTGTTTGCTTTTTATCACCTATTACATAGATCAATTTTCAGTGAAGTGAAAAGAATAATCTCTCATAATATGCTCACACTTTTTTTCCAATCTTCAAGTTATGAATTCACATCTTTCTTCTATGGATCACTTCATTGTTTTCCAACTTGGTTACAAATACGACTTAGGGTTGTCCTGATTTTGGAAAGGTATGAAAGAGTCGGGTTTTTTTGCTCGAGATGAACAATGAGGTACACAAGAATAGTAATTCATGTTTTTGAACGTTTTTCAAATTCCTCAAACAAAATTATAGGCGATTTAAACACAACTACTTCTCATATAAAACACAAGCAAACTGATGTAAACAAAGCAATCAATGGCCCATACGTTAGTTATATTAGAAAACCGTAGAGGGCGTATTCCTCAGCAAGATTCGCCTATTCGCGAAAATCACGAACCAATAGATGACCCTATTATATGTCAAATCAACGTCAAATTTCCAACTGAGTATGAACAACAAAAACATTGCCGTATGCACTCATTGCAAATTGGTTATTTCCAAATCATTTTGCAAAATAGTGAATAATAAGTTGACTTCTTGAAATACGTAGGTACAAGGTTTCCGGTATGGAAAAAATCAGTTTGTGTAGAGAAATTGCCATTTTGATGTGGACAATGGTGGTATTCATCATTGATATCACACTACAATCCCACAGTTTTCAAACATATGGAATGATCGGAATGGTCCTCTCAACACTTGCATGGACTGGAATGGAACCATACAAGCAATCAGCTATTACAACAATATGGTATAGGTATGAAGAAATAATTGAATTCATGAAGAAATATCACTGGCTTTTATGAAGGAGATGGAATTCTAGTGAAGGGGTTGGGAAAGAAGATATGGTTGGAGAGGCTGCTCAGAATGAACAATATCATCGATTTACATAAACAAGGATCTCCAGCTATTGAGGACTTGAAGTTATTCTCAAGATCGAATCATTGCAACCAACATTTATACAATTATTCTAATTGTGCTTCATAAAATGTATATTATATTATTATAAGGTAGGTACTGGTTTCTTCATTGTAAACAATAAAAGTTCACGCAATAATTCGAGTTTTTTCATCAGGGAGAAATGAGGTTCTGGAATATGCACATCAACAAATAAATTATTTTCAAATAAAACACATATTTATGAAATTCAAAACAATGGTCGCCATATTTGTTGTTCATACTCGCAAGACTTGTACAGTTAGCCACCAGAGGCAGCACACTTCGTGATTTTCGCGAATAGCTAGTGGTAAAAAAATACCTAACCTGCAAATGTTTTGTAGAGCAAATCTCCATCAAATGACTCAGCTGCACGGAGGTCCCGCTCACTGCCATCTGCTCCATATTATACAACAATTGGTAGAGGTAGTTCCTGCCGTCCGCGTCGCTCTCCGCCGCCTCTCCGGGAGGCGTGAGAGGATCGTCCGGGGGCGGCTTGGGACCTGCCCCGTGGGCGGCGCCCAGCAGGCCCAGTTTGCCCTTGCAGGTGGCCGATGCTAGGGCGTACGAGAGCACTGCCGAGTCGTAGGCGTCCATCTTGATGGCTTTGGAGGACCTGAGGGGGATTGGAGCACCGACATAATACAGGGCCTACTCTATCTCACCGGGCCGGAGCATCGCTTTCGTGACGTCACACTAGTAGGGACAAAATCGAGGCGCTGGAAATTGCGTTTCCCAATTCATTGATGTACCACGGGAAAACGGTGACAGTTATCAAAAAATGTCAGGAGATCAAATATGTACAGACTAGACTTTTTCAAGAGATGAATCAATATTCACTGATTTACGATTGATAGCTCAAGAAATATAGCATATCAAAATGAATTGACTACATTCAGAATTGTCGTTTTTTAAACAGCTGCTAAAATTTCAATATTCAATTCAAGCAAAGGCTTCTCATAGTATCTAGATTGACTGTATTTTTTTTCAAATTTCCCAAGAGCCAATAACAAACCGATATTTCAATTCTAGTAAAATGGTGATGATTATTACAGACTAGTTCAAAAAGTTTAGACGGCCCCCATGCTAAACCTATTATGTGGATATATGCTGTCACTGACTTTTTTGTAGTGAATTTCATTGCCTACATATCGATATGATAAACTTTTACTGTATCTCAGAGGATTTTAGCAGCGTTTATGTCTGAAGATAATCTGGACACACTTTGATGACGTTAGAAATTATATACCTACCCGAGTAGAAGTTATTACGCAAAAACCCTGACAGCGAATTAAATATTTTCAGCTATGGAGTATATATTTTAGAAATATTCTCATATTGATGAAGATGAATTGATTTGAAAACATTTTCAAAATATGAAAATTAAACTGAACAAAAAATATGTAGTTCTCATACACACAATACTAAACGAATGCCATTCAGAAAATATTCAACATAATAAAAGAGAAAAAATAGCCAGATATTACAAAATAACATACTTATAACAAAATATACAGGGTGTTTCAGATTTAAATGTACAAACGATACCTGTAGATAGGGGACACTTCAGTGGTTCCAATTCACCACCCATTGATATGTCTACCGTCTTTTATAACTGAGATACAGGACGTTATCTTGATTTTGGCAAAATCTTCATCTGGTTATTACTTTTGAACCACTTTGTATAATTCATAAATAAAAATCCGGGTCAGAATCCAGGTCCGTCTTGAGGAAAAACAGAAAACTTCTTTTATCTAAAAAACAACACCCTGTATGGCAACATTTTGTAGGTCTGTTTCGGTATTTGGAAAGAGCGGGAAAAAATGAAATGAGTGACCTATTTTTTACGAGTGCGCATCTAATTTGACAGATGGTTTATTATCATGTTTTGAAATATTCAGCTCCATTTCGAGGCATTTTTATTGAACTTATAATTCAAAATTCAATTTTAATACAAAAAAATAACAGTCTTCAAAGTTCAACATCGTTAGAGTCAAATTAGGTGAACTATCGATAAATTTGTTTTGACAGAATCACTTGTCTATGGTATCATACATTTTTGAGGGCTCATTTTATTCTCCACTATTAATTCACGAGCTGCGGTTAAGTAGGCTGTGCAAAAAAATCTGATATTCTGACAGGTCATAATCACTAGTATGATATTATTGGTAATGTTAAGATAATTATTTCTGGTGCTTGTATTGGGTTGTTACATTTCAAAGTGTTCATAATTTTACCTACAATAACTTTACCAGTAATATCGCACCTATAGTGAGTATGAACTGTCTGAATTTTCATTTTTTCTTCACAGCCTACTTTACCGCAGCTTATGAATAAATCGACAAATTATTCTGTCAAACAAACAAATTTATCGATAGTTCACCTAATTTGACTTTAATGATGTTGAACTTTGGAGACTGTTATTTTTCTGTACAAAAATTGGGTTTTGAATTATGAGTTCAATAAAAATGCCTCGAAATGGAGCTGAATATTTCAAAACATGATAATAAACCATCTTTCAAATTGGATGTGCACTCGTAAAAAGTAGGTCATTTCATTAATTTCTTTCCGCTCTTTCCAAATATCAAAACCGATCAATGAAATTTTGCCATACAGAGTGTTGTTTTTGAGATGAAAGAAGTTTTTTGGTTTTCCCCAAGACGGACCTGGATTCTGATCCGGATTTTCCTTTGGTTTTGATGGGTAATATAAGTGAAATATTTCTACCAAGTATGGATGGATTATACAAAGTGGTTCAGAAGTTATAACCAGATGAAGATTTTGACAATATCAAGATAACGTCCTGTATCCCAGTTATCAAAGACGGTAGACATATCGATGGGGGTGATTTGGAACCACCGAAGTGTCCTCTATCTACAGGTATCGTATGTCGTATGTACATTTAAATCTGAAACACCCTATATATATCACAAACTTAAAATGGGCTCAAAGCTTCATATTCATCCGGAAAGTCTGATGATTCTTATTTTTTTATGATTTTGCTGAATGCATATGTAATACCTAAAAATTAGGTAGGTATAATTCTAGACAAATTTTTACGCGCTCTTTATTTCTAATTAATTTTGAACTCGTTGTAGGTAGCTCACTAATTTTCTCACTATTTAATTGATGCATCATCATCCTAGTTTGAGATACCTACCAACTCAGTCAGTTTCATTTTGAACCGATTCCAAGTTGGCAAAAAATAGTATTCCGTGTACAACGTCCTGATTTTCATTAAAATTAAGTTTATTCTTCACAACATCATAAATCAGTACTGGTTCATCCTAATGAATTTATTTTTTTACCGAAAGTTGGGTAGTTCATCAGGGATCAATTCGTCTCGATTGAGTGTGCTTCTAATTTTCAAAGTAAATGAGCTATACCTTTCAATTACGAACGCATCGATATGAAATGATGTGAAATCTCAACCTACTAGTGTGACGTCAGCATCGAGGTAGAGGAGATAGACTACGGCCCGGTGAGAAGAGTATAGGCCTTGCATAATAGCTATTTATACAAGATGTTCTTTAATAATATGCTAATATCCAAGGGGCCGATTCTTCGACCCATTTCGAGAATAAAACTTCATATGAACGTATGTCGTGAACGTCCTAATTTTTGAGATACAGGGTGTCAATGTTGAACATATGCATGGATTATTTTCTTGTCCACCCTCTCTATAGCTTTTCTTGATGGTAAAATTCAGTCTGATATGTGACTGAATCGGTATACAAATTTAAAAATGTTACATACCTACTGTGGTTATCCAGTAATGGATTTCTTGAATGGAGTACTCAGACATCAAAATTCGAAGTCTGATCTCGTTTTTCCGTTTTTTCTCGAAATCGAAATGTTCTATTGAGTATCAACAGGAGGATCTTTTTTGTACATAATAAAATAGCCTTTTATGACATTGTATAAAATTTGAAATTTTTTTGTCTTTGCTCACTTTTAAGTAATATACAGGGTGTTTCACAGGTAAAGGGAAATATTTCAATGGTAGATAGGGGTCACCAAGGTGGTTCTGAAAATACCATATTTGATAGGTCATAGAGTCTTCATAACGGAGATACAGGGCGATTTATCGATTTCGAATAATTATTCATTCGCCAGTATATTTTTCTAAAATTTGGTATGTATGGAGCTTATGATTGGGACGTTGAATTCATTCACCTATCGGGCGAAGTGAAAATCCAGGGTCGGCTTCAGGAAAAAATTACATTTATTCGAAATATTAAAATGTAATAATTGACATAGTTCATCGGTATTAAACACACATGGGAGGAAATAAACCTTTGCTCCCAAGATATAGGTATATATACTGGGTGTTTCTTGAGTACGTGTAGAAAATTCAGGAGAATAATGCAGACGTCAAAATAAGAAGAAAAGTTCGTATAAATATATGTCCGAAAGTTATTCGTCTCTGAGATACAGAGTGTCAAAGTTGAATTCTTATTCTTGTTTTTCGTTAATAAATTTCAAAATAATTGTGATATTGAAATTTGGTATCTAGGGGTAATTTTCAATGACAATAGTTATTTAACCAACTAGTGTTCATTAATTGCCTTTTAATATACCAGGTGGTTACAAAATTTTTCCGTCGACTATATTTCTCATTTCTCCTGCAATGAAGAAAACTTGGTTCGCGAATTGATCATTCATCCGAAACCTGCTAAGAATCACCCAGTAGCCTTGTTACTGACATTAGTGACATTTGACATTTGTCGAAATGATCAACATAGAAAATGAATTCCTTGTGTCAGAAAACAGGGATTAAAATCGTGTCAGAAACTTTGAAAGGCGAACCCGTTAACGGAAAATCTTCGATGAAATCCATATTTTCGATTTAAATACAGATTCCGTAAGTTATAGCATAAACAATGAATGCACGCGGTGTATGTTTGGTTGCCTATAAAACAATCGTACATTAATAGACAAATCGCCCATTAATAGGGGTCAATAATGAACGATTTCATATACATTAAACTTAGTCGTTAATACGAGGTCGACGGAAAAGTACTATCTAGACCGCTGATGCCATATGAAAGAAGGTGAGCCACTCGAGATCGAACTGGAGAATATGAATCATGCACATTGAGGACTTGTCATACATCAGGGTCCCACCGATTCAATAGGGAGAGTATTGCTATTTTCTAAACGGTAAGGAAAGAAAATTGATTAAATTAGACAAAAGTTGCGTATTGAAAAGGAATATTCTCAGATATACAGAGTCTCACTTTAAACGCCCCCCCCCTCTATATCTCAGTTATCAGTGATGCGATTCCAACCAAATTTGGTGTGGTATGAATAACCATCAATATGATCAGTTTTACAGAGATGCACATTATTTTGGACAGTGCCGTGCATTTTTATTAAACCAAAAAGGGGTCGATTTTCCATAAAATCATATTAGGCATTTTTTTATAGGAAATCTAACCTCCATTTTTTTCATTTTTAGTCTCGAATAAATAGTGACTTCAAATCAACTACGAATTTTGGAACGTTCAAAGGCTTCGGTAGGTGGAGAATCATGATTTGGAAGGAAAAACGAGTTATTTTTTTATGTTGAACTCACCGTTTCCGAGTAAATAAGAATTACGTTCGCAAAAATGC